CAACCCAGAAAAAATACCTTATTTTTTTAAAAATAATATTACTATCTACAGCGATTGTAGATAGAACTGATGTAGAAAATGGACTATCTACATCGGTTATAAATTGTTATATATTTGAATAAATTAACTAACTCTTTCTTATTTTATGACTATTGAATTTTATTTTTATTTATTTTAGAGATGTTTTTCTGGATTGTAGGATTTACAACCCAGAAAAATAACCCTATTTTTTAAAATAATAATATTGCTATTTATAGCGGTTGTAGATAGAACTGATGTAGAAAATGGACTTTCTATATTGATTCTTGCTACAACCGATGTAGAAAGTCCATTTTCTACATCGGTTGCACAATCAATGTAAAAAGTCTCGTACTTTCTACATTTTCTAAAACAACAATGCTACGTGAACTGATGTAAAAAGTATTTTTTAACTGCTGTAAAAAAAAATTTTTTGTAGTAGTGTTTCCAATGAGGAAATTTCTGCTAAACTTAGTGGAGATTTTTTAGTGAATATTTCCTATTGATGTAAATCTGAATTTATGAATTACGTCATAAAAAATATAATTAGGTGTTCCACATAGACTATAGTTAAGGTCCTAACTTTCTTTGTTATATTGTCTATCTATTGCTGAGAAGTAGAGTTCCGTATTGCTAGTTATCAATTGTAAAATTTCTGTTGTAAAGATTTTAGGGAGATTTTAATTATAAGGGAGGTATTGTCAAAATTTTTATAAAAAGTTTGATATTTTAATTATTTGAAAGTAAAATTTGATGTGTACAATTAGGTGAATAGTAAGTCAAATATATTAATTTAAAACTTTCTTTCATTAAGGCTTTAAAGAAAAAGTGTTTAAATATACATCTCGTACTAATCACTCTTATATTTTAGGGCATGCCAATATATAACTTCCATGCTTGTATGATTTGGGCTTGCTTTAGCTTTGTCGATGGAAAGGAAGAATGTCACATCATGTCGTTGAGGCATGTAATAGAATTTGAATAAATTATTAAGCTTTTGGAAGATGTCAAGTCCGGACTAGGTTCGTCCTTGTGTCAGCTGAGCATTTCTATCACACATGGGTTGTTGTGTATATTGATCTCAGTATCTACTAATCTAACAACTCCTCAAATGATATCCAAACAATTAAATTTTACTTGTTATATAATTTTATTCAAATTACCTGTGTTAGGCTTAGGAAGTAACTTTTCCTTCTCAAATATCCGTAACTTCAGCTTTTACATTTTGTAGGCTTACGAAGTAGGGTCTGGTTTTATAACTATGAAAGTCTCACTTCTAAATTTGTTAATTGAATGATGTTGCCCACGAATTTTTCAGAAAAAATTTTTCGCTGTTAGGCTCGTAAAGAATTATCTCTTTGAATTAGTTACAAATTCCCAGCCAAAAATTTAAAAGGAATATTGATACCTATGGTTTTGGTTGCTAAATGTATGGAGATTGGATGGCCTAAGCTCATAGTGCTTGCATTTAATTCACAAGTATAGGGTCCAAAAAAAACAAAAAAACAATTCACAGGTATAGTTCTTGTAGTATCATATATCTATTGTCCTCTGACATTGATGATGATGTTATTTATCTTTTGTTTCATTCTATGCAAATGAAAAATTGTGATGTTCATGTTTTAAAAAGCCAATGTCTAGGCATCTTAGTTCCGTCCTACATTTAGAATTGGAGTGATTTATTTTTCTAAACCTATTCATTATTATTATGATACTTTATGATTTAATTAAATTATTTTTATTATTTTTTATTTTCAGGCATAAAAGTTTCAATTTTTCAAGTTTTGATGTTACCTCTCTCAAATTTATTGATCCAATAATATTCATTTACTTTACCACTGTTGTGTTCATGTTTTAGTTAATACCAATAGTTTGTCTATTCAAAGACTTGTGTATTTGTTATGAAATTTATCTGATAGTGATGTGACCGTCAAAATTTATGAGGTTTATAAATTTAGAGAATATGCAGTGAGAAAGGAGAAATTTTTATTTAAACAAAAATATACTTATGGGAGTGCTCTTATGAAGAAGCATTCCTGTAGACTTGGTCTACAGAAGCGCTTTTGTAAGTAAACGCTCCCATATGATCTTATAGGACTGCATCTTCCAAGAGCGCTCCTGAAACTCCAAGAACTCATTTTTGTCCTCATATGAGGATGCTTATAAGAGCGCTATTATGGGAGTGCTTTATATACAAAAGTGCTTATTATGGAAGTGCTTTTGAAACGCTTCTATGTGTAAAAAAAATAAATACTCACAAAAGCATTTTTTGTATTAGTGTTGATCACATATTTGTAGCACAAGGCCACATGGTACGCATAATACATTATACATTTAAAAATCTATAACTTCAATTGTGCAAGTCATGCAAGACTTGTCATGCGTAAGATACATAATTGATTCATCAGATAAACTATCACTACAAAAAGATAAACTTTTGGTGGTGACAAAAAATCACTGCCAATAGTCCAAAAGTCATCGTTAAAAGTTTTTAGCAGTGAATTTCTGCCGTCAAAAGTTGTCACTATAACAATTGTTGCTAATAGTTTTTGACGGTGACAAATATTGTTGCCGCCAAAAGTATACTTTTAGCGGCGAAATGTCGCCGCCAAAAGTCTTTTTGCCGCTAAAAGTCTTTTTAGCAATAACAAATGTCTCCGCCAAAAAGACTTTTAGCGGTGACAATTTTTTTAAAAAAATAATAATTTATTTTATGCCACATCACTCCGTCACGTGTGCATTAAGTGATGCCACGTCACTTGTCATCTTGTGCCACATCACAATCCACGTGTTCAATAAATAATGCCACATCACCTAGTCATCTCATGCCATGTCACATGACACGTGTGCAATTCCTCTAACCACCTTATGTGCCACGCCACCATCTCGTACCACGTCACCTGTCACGTGTGTGCCTCCTCAAGCTACCTCATATGCCATGCCACCATCTCGTGCCATATCACCTATCATGTGTGTGCCTTTTCAAATCACCTCACGTGCCACATCACCACCACGCGCCACTTCACATATTTGTTGCAAAATATGGCAAAGCTAAGGTTTGAACCTTTGACCTCTCCTTCCTCCAAGCATTAAGCCTTCTTTCTTTGTCAGTTGAATTGAAATGCACCTACAATTATTATATGCAAAATTAAATATATATTATGTAACTGCATATACATATATCAAATAATATATGATTAAAAAGATATACATATATTTTATTTTATTTTCAATTATTAATATGACAAAATGATTTATATGAATATTTAAATTATAATTTTAATAAAATATTATTTTTACCAGTAAATATTATTTTTTAGGAAAATGAACTTAAAATAAACAATTTTTAAATTCTAAATAATATTCTTATATACATTGTAATAAATTTTTAAATTATATTTTTATTTTTTAAATGAAAATTATTAAGTATATAATTTATTTATAAATATGTATTATATTATTTTATGTTAAATATCTTTTACTTTTTTTCTCCATATTTTTCTCAAAAATTGGTAAACTAAATGATTAAATTTTTATCTTCTCTCAAAATAGCTAAATGTTTCCCCCACTTTTAATAAAAGTGTATTTTATAGATAATTTTTCAATATCTTAAAAAATTATTTTAATAAAAATTAATTTTAACCACATAAATTTTGTTAATAGTCATTTTGAATAATTTTGAAAATGAATACTAATAACTTTTACAATATATGCTAATTACAAGAATTTCATATGTGATAAATCTAGTTAACATCTAATCATCTTCAATCTTAGAGCAAGGTAGATTTGAATAGTTATTCATATTATTCTTAGTAATAATTAGTTATAAAATGTTATTATAGCAATGAAAACCTAAATATACTAGGAGGAATTACATGAAATTCTTGTTCAAAAGTCATTGGAGCTCAATCAAAGAAGTAAATACCATATGTATATCAAGCTAAGCATATAGTGCGCAATATGCTAAGTAGTCTATAATATCATTTACATCTCATGATATTTGTACAACTTTAACTTCTTGATGCCATTTATGTATTTGATTGTAAATAATAATTTATGTATAACTTAACCTAATTATAATTGAAGTAATAACCCATTAAGATTTTAATTTATTATATTAAAATACTAGCTTAATAACATAATTCTTAAAAAAAATATGAGTTATATATGTCTAAAAAATGATTATGAATAATATAAAATTAGAAAAAAATTTAATAATTAAACTTAGCATACTTTGACTATTATTTTTTTTGTTTCATGTTCCTATATATAATTTATTTCTAATTTTTTACATAAAATAAGAAATTTAATTTCATAAATATATTTTTCATAATTTTATTTAATTTCAAATTTTTAAAACAATTCATAATTTTCTTAAAAAAACTAAATTATAATTTTAAAAATATTGCCATCAAAAGTAGATTATATAAATTATTTTTATAATAATACTTTTGGTGGCGACAAAGTAAATTATATAATTATTTTTTAATTTTTAAATTATTTTTTATAAAAATAGTTTTGGCGGCCACTTTGATTTGCTTTAGTTTTGCAGGTGACTTTTAGCGGACTTTTGGCGGCAATTTTAATTTGTTGCCGCTAAAAATCATTGTCAAAAGTCATATTTTTTGTAGTGTATAACACAAGGGACAAATATGATGATTATTTCAAATAATCATCATGTTTTAGCTTACTAGAATTGAAAAATCAAATTGAGGTTTCTTTTATATTTTGGTTTCTATTATACCATCATATATTTTTTTTAGTGTCTGACGATTTTATAATCGTTATGTAAAGGGGCAGGACTTTATATAACAGAGTAATGTATGACAGTTAACTGTTTTTTTTTTTTTTGGGTTAAAATAACCATTATTCTTGTTCTGAAATAACCATCGTTTTTCAGATTTTTTTTGTAGTAGTAATTTCTCAAGTTTTTTGGGAAACAATCATTTTGAATTTAGTAATACTGATCCAAATTTGAGCAATGTCAAATGAGAATAAACTTTCTTCTTTAAGCAGTTTATGCATTAAATTAGTTTCATTCATTCAACATCCACTATATTTTAGCTCAACCTTAACATCACGCCAAACTCTGAACCTACTTTACAAAAGCAAAAGAAACATGAAAATAACAAGAGGACTGATTAAGACGGCAACTAGGCTCTCAAATGAGACCAGTCACAAGGTCCCAACCACCATAAACTTTTGATGAACATCCACAATCACCAATCTTGTATGCAAATTGTTGTGCTTGAATGCAAGTCTTTGCCTACGTTCTTCCTTAAGTAGACTCAGCTGAACCCTCAAAGATTCGTTCCGTTCTGCAAGCAAAGTAAAACATGTACTGCTCATCATGTTAAGAATCTTCACTTATATACTGAATTTTGAATCTCTCAAGCTTCAAGTTATGTGTTTTTTTCCCTTGACATTGAAGAAGTTATCGAGCAAGAACAAGCCCGTTGAACAAGTCTGAGGCAATATCCTTACCTCTTATAAGCTTTGTTTCATTATTAATAGCCTCTATCTCACATTCAAGATCCCTGTTCTTGGCTTTCATATCTGAAATTTCCTTCTGCATTAAATGAGAAGTAAAAATCAAAGGAATGGTATGAGAGAAGGGGTCAGATAAGCAATAACATGACCTACTAACTTTTTGAGGGCACAATCAATTTGTTCATGTTACAGAATGTTCAATGACGATTGTGCATGTGACACATTTGAACATCGGTCGGATTTAACATTAAGGTTAATTATAAACAAAGCCAGACAACACTATAGGTTAACATTCCATAAGTTGTAAACTGTTGTTATATAGATCCTTATCCAATTGAAAATACAGTGAAGAATCACCCACATAATTAGAGACTTAATAACTTGTATAGATATTGAAAATTGACAAATTAACCGAGAAGTTTTCCTTTCACGACCTATATTTTCTCCAAAAGTTGTATGTATATAAGTCACAAATCAAATTCTCATCTAGATATGACTTTTGAACCGATGTTAACTAAACATTTTATTTAAATATTCCGTCTCAATATTCTTTATAACCCACTTATCTTTGTACATGCCCTGTGTTTCACGCTCATATGATACATTTTTCTCATTTGATGCCTTAGCTTTTCGATTTTTAGCAAGCTCATTAGCAATACTTTTCGTATATTATATGTGCTAATCGATTTCACTTCCTAGAATTCATTCAAAACAATTTATATGTAGACAAACATGGTAAAATATTTCAAAACAAAATTTATGTAAGTTAACAAAACTTAGAACTTTCAATATATCTTTAGCATATCTTTTATTTAAATGCACACACTCAATTGAACTGAACTATGACTTCTCATTATGAACGACATCAATAAGTTCAACAGCCATGTCGTGAGTTCTATTAATCTGAATGTAGCATATAATACATTTATCACATGATTGTTACACATACTATAAGCAAGATAAATACATGCACAATATGCATACATAATGAGACGCGAGGGAAGAGAAAAGGAATACCATGCATTAATATAAAATACATGTAATCCGATAAAACATCAGTTTTAAAGAAAAATAAGAATACAAAAAAAAAAAAAAAAACCATTGACAGATCGTTCGAAAACACAACTTCTTTGAGAACTTAAAGAGATTGTCTATATATGTCTCTCCTCCCACTATTAGAAATCATGCAATTTGCAACAGATTAAAAAGCATCCCAAATGCATCATTTATCCATTCCAAAATACGTCCCAGAGTTTTGCAACGGAAGTTGTGATAAAATATTTTGTCCCAGAAACCTGCGACTGAAATTGGGACAAATTATTTTGTCCTTCAAATTGTCACTAACGTTCGGACAGAATTCGGTGTCACAAATAATTTCAATGCCATTTGGGACTAATTATTCCATCCCAAAATAATAGAACGGAAGTTTTTACCTTAAAATTTTCTGTCCCAATTGCGTGACAAAGGCATCGCAAAATATTTAAGTATAAATTTTATTATAATTGTAATATATATGAAATCAAAATTGTATGATATTAAATATTCTAAAATGTATTAATTTTATGCATATGATAATTTTAATTATTATTGAAAACAAACATATAGTAATACGAATTAATTGTCAATTCTGATTTGCTTGAATTATATGATGCTGATTACTTTCGGCTAGTTTGATTTCAGCTTGAGATTTTCAGCTGACACCTAAAGGGTGACGATTGAGCTGATAGACAAGGGACTAATAGACAAGTTATATACCTCATTCATTTCTGAAACAATAAAATATTTTAAATAAAATTAAACTAACCAAAGGTGTGATGAGGTTATTGTTCTCTAGGATAATCCACTTAAAACATTATGTATTTCTTAGACTTCAAAATGCCATTATTATTTTCCCCTTTGTTCATATCGTTAATTTTTCTTTCTGCATTTACATATTAGTCGTCTGATCTCATTTGACTTTACCTTTTATGATGTCTTAAGTGCTAATATTCTTCATGTTCCTTGAAATGTTGGCGATCACTACAAAATTCACTTCAAGAACCTTGTTTCTCATTTGGATGAGAATCGGTGTTTGTTGTGAATGTTACTGAGTCAAGCCACAAAAATATCTTAAGACAAATGTTGTTAACATCGTTCATTAGTGGGCATGCCATGTTTTTTATTTATTATTCATTGGTAAATGTCCCTTATTGTCGTCATCTGCAACTTCCCTATAAAATTAAAAATTACGCACTCAACTTAACTTTTTTTTTTTTTTTAACTTTACTAATACAGTCTATCATAAAGACTATTAATCTTCTTTCCAGGCATGAAATGTCTATAAGGGTTGGCCCCAATATGGATTTGTGTCATTTAATATACTACAATGAAATCTTTCTTTGAAATGTATTGAGTTCTATGACATTCTCTGCTGATAATATTTGCTACCTTCCATCTTCAGCTTGTGTTAAGATAACAAACAAGTGTCAATTCTGTTTTTCTCCTGTGACATACTAATTCATTATCCTCTGATATCTTTCCTTTAATGAAATCTTCATTATTCATTAATATGCTGTAGGTTTCTTCAGGGAAAGATCGTTCAAAAAAATGATGTAATCATAGTTGATCTTGTGGAAACCAAGTGACTGGCAGCTAAACAAATGGGGAAAAAAAATAAAGCTCTATAGGGAGAAGCATAGTGAAGATTTGACAGGTAGTTACTAACAACAAAGCTTTGCACCTTCATCAGTTTACTATTGGTGAGTCTAATTGTTTCTCACCTATATGATGGGTTAAGATGAAGACAATGAACATGAATCCGATGGTTCTTTTTATTGATTATGATGTTATTTGACTGCATTAGTACTTTTAAATCATTTTGTAATGGTCTGACACTTGAATATGATTGTGATATTAAGTTCTTAATATGTTTTGATGTAATTTTTTTTATAAGCATGTTTTGATATAATTTATTATTAGTTCATTTTTATCAATAGATATATTATTATTATAGGTTGCATAGTAATAAAAAATTATATTTTAAGATTATTAAAAAATAATAATTAAATTGATGTAAATAATTAAATGACGGATTTTCCAACTGGGGACAAATTTTGTACAGAAGTTCCTTTGCAATCTTTTGTGATGGATTTGTGATATTTGCCGTGTCACAACTTGTGTGAAGCCTTTGTGACAAACAAAATCCGTTCCAAATTTGGGATTGATATTCCATCCCAAAGATAGCTTCACAACTTTGCAACAGACGTTGGATTTCCATCACAAGAAATTTGAGACAAACAGTCAAACACCCTTCCGTCAGGAACAATGTTTCAACATTTAAAGTTAAAGGATTTTGCAGTGTCCATAGAGGGGAGAGATTTTATCAAATACCGTGAACTTGATTATCTTCTTTGAGAATTGTAAGAGTAAGATAGGAAAGTTATATACAAACCTCAATCTTCGCAAGGTCATCTACAGAGAACTGAATTGATTGAGGTTGAAGTGTCAGCGCTTTCTGCTCCGTCTCCATTGTGTAATGAGTCCTCCTCTCCTTCGAATGAGCAGCAGATTCCCTATTTGCAAGAACCCTATACAAAAAAACACTCAATATCAATCAATATCGAGAATCAAGTTCAAGGGCTTCTTATAGGAAAATATAATTCACGACTCCCAAAAATTATGTTTGACTTTACTTAACCATATAAAAATTTGTAACGCCCCGTCGAAAATATGCAACCATAATTATAATAATAACAATACTATTTTTTTATAGAAAAAAATTCAATGGAATTCATTGCATTGTCGATTATTTAATTGAAATATGAAAATATGCAGTTATGATAATTATTAAGATTGAGGAATACCTTCCAAAATGGTTCAATAATCTTATGCGTTATAACACACATATCAAGAAATATATAAAAAAAATTAAGTTAGCACTTACTTATATAACAGATGTTACATCTTGAAAATAAAAGGTGACCGCCACGTGATGTGAACCATATTACATTCCCTAAGCCTAAAATTGAGAAATCTTTTCATTTCTAAAACATAATTGAATTTCTACTGAAATTATGATACACTTAATAATATATACGTTATAACAAAAGTTTCAATAATTTTGTAAAAATTTTGACAAAATCTTCCCTGTAAATATGACCTTTGAAAATTTTATAATACAATATTTTATACAAAATATCATATCATTTAAAAGCTTAACTTCTTCCAGCTAGTAGATAGAATATATAGTAAAATAAAGACTATAGCTATAACTTATGTGGAACACTTAACAAATCTTCATAATATAATAATCACAATAATATTGGTTTTTTTAGATAAAAATTCAACGGAATTCATTATATTATGAATTAGTCAATTGAAATATGAAAAATGCAGTTACGGTAATTATTGAGATGGAGGAACACCTTCCAAAATGGTTCAAACATCTCATGTGTTATATATAACAAAATAGAGGGTGACTGGTACAAGGTGTAAATCATATCACATAACCTAAGCCTTAAATTGATAAATTTTTTCATTTCTAAAACATACTTGAATTTATACTAGAATTATGATATACTTAATAATTCATACATTATAACAAAAATTTTAATGTTTTTGTAGAAATTTTAGTTGAATCTCCTATAAATAAGACCTCTCAAAAATTCTATAGTACAATATATTACACAAAATACCATATCATTCAAGCTAAACTTTCAGCCAACAGACAAAATATATTACAAAATAAAAACTCTAGTTATAGGCTATATGGAGCACCTAATAAATTTTCATGTTATATCACATAAATTTAATCATTACATCAAAAAGGGAATCAACAAAATAATTATCTGCCTAGTTCAGCAATAAACCCTTAGTAGTCAATAGAAGGTTCAACATCAGTTAAGGTATCTGAGATCAAAAATAATTTTTTAGTAAATAACATTCTAATAATAAATAATTGGACAAGAATAAAAAGAAAGTGTGAAATAATTTTGTGCGATAAAGAGACAACAACTTTCATATAAATTATCATATCAAATATTATTATCACTTGATTTCAAGCAAACAAATAAACAGAATAAATAATTATAAATATATCACTAATTAAAATCAATGGAATATAGAATCACCAAATAATGAAAACTCATATCTATGGGGACTTATTAGAACAACTAACAAATGTAAATACATAGTCTATGAGGTTAAATAACCGAACGCTTATGCCACAAAGACATACATGGTCATACAATCCATAACGGTAAGTAACCAAATATGGCCTGGGCCACAAAAACAAAGATAGATACATAGTCTATGAGTGTAATACTAACCAAATGTAGCTTAAAGCTATGAAAAAAAAATGCAGATATTAGACCCACAAATGACAAACATAAGAAAAGAGCTAGCGAAAATTAAAATAGTTAGTCATTTACTATGGCGTGTCAAGGGCTAACAAAACTGTCATTAGCAACTAGCATTATATATAAAATCTCTTTTAAATTTATTTTCAAATATGTGAGAAAATTATCACTATTAAAATATAATTTTTATTCAAACTTGCATGGAGAATTTCAAGCATCAATTCAATAATGACAAGAACAAAATTTCATAACTGATTATCAAATTACATTTATTGATTAACTAAGAATATCAAATCTAGTAAAGATAACTCCATCAATCTTGAAAATGTATATCATGAGAAAAAGTACATGAATATGCTACAATTTAATTATTCTTCACCACCATTTTATAATTTGATAAAATAAAATAATTTAATTAATAAAGTATCCAATAATCAACATTATTGTTATTAAAATCATCTACATAAAAATATAATATTTTAGTAAAAATAATTCTATTAAAAAATTAGTTGAGATACAATCCAGTTACCTGAAATACGATACTTCCAAGATTCAAAACTTCACCTCTCAATTTCAATTAAATTTCTTGTCCTCCAAACACCCTACAAATTATATTAAGATTTTTAATAAACTTTCAATGCATTTAATAATTTCCTTCTAACATTACCACTATCAAAATTTAGCTATAATAAATTTAAAATTTTAAATATAAAAAATTTACATGTGAAAGTCCCCCAAAGGCCATATAGCTAACTACTTCATTAAAATACAACATCCTCTTAGTCTTTTTGTCAAAACACCAAATGTACCTAAGTTTAAAATCCCATAATAATGCTTTAAACCGTTCAATATCTTGCCCAACAATTTCTCACAGCCTCATAACTCCAAAGAATTTAACTAGCTACATATCACTTTCATAATCAACATTTTTACACAATACCAAGCTCAATTCACTAGATAATAGCATCCAAACTAGTTATGTCTCCCAAGAGATTTAATCTAATTTTAGTAAATTCAAAGTCAAGCAAAACTTTCCTAACGGGTATTTTATTGAATATCTTATAAGCATTAATCCTGTAAACCAACACCAACCTCTTCCTCTTCAATTTCACTTCCAAAAATTTTACAATGTCAATGTTGTAATCAATAATCAAATGAAACCCAATTAGAGCTCAAACCCATACCATCATTCTCTTATTCTTAGTACTAGAAATTTTAGCTTAACTCAAATTTTCTGTCACACCCCAAAAATAAAGGGTGATCGGCATGGATACGAACCATTTCACACATCCGTAAGCCTCAAAATGAAAATTTATTTCATTTTACAAAAGAAAAAAATTAATCAAATTACATGAAAGTTAAAATAATTTTGATGCTACTTGTCATTTGAAAGTTTCAACGTTTTTGTAAAAATTTTGGCAAAACCTCCCCTATAACTAAGATCTCTTGAAAATTCTATAACAGAAAATTTTTACAAATAATAGTATAAATCAGGAGCATAGCTCCTTCCAGCTAGCAACCAGTATACAAACCAAAATAAAGTCTATTAACAATCTATGTGGAGCAACTAATCTTTCTTCTAAATCAAAATACATAAAGCTTAAATATTAATATCAACAAGTAATAGTACCAAACAAAATTTCCACCCAATATAGTTGTATTGCGCTTTAGAGGTCAGTAGAGAGATCAGCATTAGCTAATAACTCTGAGACCAAACCAGTATACCTTTGTTGACTTATGCAGAAGCGGCCCTAGCAGGTGAGACAGAAGATGAATTAAGGCAAGGAGAAGGTTGAATTGATCCATGGCTTGACATAGACTGGATATATAGACTGTCACGCCCAGCAATATGGGAGTGACTGGCATAGGATATGCATCTAAGCACACATCCCTTAAGCCTAATTCAAAAAAATGTTTTATTTAAAAAATACTTTTCTTTTAAATAAAGCCTTAATATTTTTGTAAAAATTCAGACAAAATCTCCCCTGAGAATGGAATCTCCTAAAATTTTATAACGCAATAATTTTACATAGAATATAATATCAATCAGGAGCTTAGCTCCTTCTAACTAGCAAATAACATATATCAAATTAGAAACCTAACTATAGGTTATGTGGAGCAACTAACCTTACTTCGAAAACAAAATACATGAGTTCAAATATTGATATTAAAAGGAGATAATGCTAGGCAAAACTCCACCCAAAATAGATGTATGCCCTTCAAAGGTAAGCAGTACGATCCTAGTCAACTAATAAATCTGAAACCAAAATAATTTCTAGTGAATAACGTCTCAATAATAAATAATTAAATATAAATAAAAAAAGTTAAAAAAACAATAATGTAAGTTAAAAAGACAGCGATCTCCATAAAGATTCAAATAAATGTAGAATAAAAGGATTCTATATAACTTTAAATGAAATCTTGAACCATTAAATTATCATATCAAATATTGTTATAACTTAATTTTAAGGAAGCAAATAAATAAAATAAATAATTAAAAATATATTGCTAATCAAAACCAATGGGATATGAAATCATTAAATAATTAAATTCATATTTATAGGGACTTATCAGAACAATTAACAAACGTGGACACACAATCCACGAGGGCAAATAACCAAACGTGGCTTATGCCATGAAAACAAACGTGGACGCACAGTCCACGAAGGTAAGTAACCAAACGCAACTGAAGCCACGAAACAAACGTGGACACACAGGTCACGAAACAAACGTGAGTACTATGCTCAGGAATAACCATCCCTCCGTTCCACGTGCGTTGGCCATCGCACGGGGCTAGCACCTCCTATGAACACCCTGCTAGCTAGGGGTACCATGGCGCGCCAAGGGCTAATGAAACTGCCGTTAACAACTAGTGTTCTGTACAAAGTTTCCTTTTAAAACCATTTTCAAACATGCGAGAAATCATCACTTTCAAAATACAGTTCTCATTCTCAAAATCAAACTCGCATGAATACTTTTAAGCATTAAAACTTTTCAGAATCAAATTTCATATCCAATGCTCGTGCTTGCATTTATTGAATAAAAAAAATTTCAACTTCGAACTTGCATGAATCATTTTCTGTATCTCTCCAATATTTGCTAGAATAAAGATCTCATAATCAAAGTTCAAACTTAATTTAATTGATCAAATAACATTTTAAATTTGGTAAAGCTAATTTATCAAAATAAAATAATTTAATCAATAAAATATCTCATAATCATATTGCTGTCGTAAAAAGAATTTGCATAAAAATGTAATATTTGAATAAAGGAGATTTTAATAAAGTATCAGTTGGGACGCTATTCACTTACCTGTCATTTTCAGAATTCAAATTTCTCCTCTCAACTTTAATCAAATTTCTTCTCTTCCCAATTCCCTATAAATCATATTAAGATTTTATTCAATGCTCAACCATCACAATAATTCCTTTTCCAACCTCACTCACCACCAATATTAAATTATAATACATTTGAAACTTTAAAAAAAAAAAAAAACTCACTAGCACTTAGTCAAGGCACCAAACATACATCATTTCCAATCTGCTCATAAAATACTAGCATTCGATATTTTATCAACAATTATCCATCTCCAACAACTCAAAAATCACATTATTAATGTCATAGGCAAATATTCTTTGCAACATCCAAATTAAAATTCATACTGCCCACAAGAATCAATAAAACTCATGAATATTCAAAAATCAACTTCAATTTCTTCTAATAAGTACTTCAACAACCATCCTATAATCATCATTCCTCAAGTTACATATCTCATGTTTTTTTTTAACTTAATCCTGACCAAATCTTCACTGTCAACCAATTTAAACAAAATAAATTTAACTTAAAAATTGCTCAAGTTTTAAGATAATTTCCAACTCAATATTGAATTTCCTCCTCTTTACAACAGTACGACAATAGCAGAACATCCACAAAGAAAATCTGTAACCTCACGCACAAAAACAGAACATACTTATACTCACAGCAAAATCAATAATGAAAATGTTTGAATCCCCTCACCTCAACCCAGCGACATGAACAGAGAAAAAGGAGGTGATAATCGACGCTGTAGCAGGTAAAAGAATGAGATCCGATTGAATTCCTTACAGCAACAAGAACAGAGGAGGGAGAAGCAGCATCATTAACCAAAAACAAAAGTAGAAAACCATCAAAAGTGGCACAGGGAAAGACGGACCATAATCTGTACCTCAACATAGTGGTACACGGTGAGCTAGAAGAAAGGAAAACGGAGAGGTTTTAGCTGACGTTCAGCGACAGGAAAATGAGCTCCACCTTCAGCTAGCTGTGAACAAATCGACCATAAACGCTCACGCCGGCGATGATTGAAAACAGAAAGGAAGGAAGCGAAAAGCATAGAAGAGGAGCAAAAGAAACATGAAGAAGAGCACTTCTCTCTCCCTTGACAGATCTGGAATAATCGAAGAAGGGGCTGGAAATTTTTTTATCAGATGCAAGAGGGGCAGTTTGGTAATTATAGCACGAAAAGCATAAAAATGAGATTTCCTAGTCTTCATTAGATTCGAACGCGGGACCTGATGCCTGAAACTTATGCCATCTACCACTATACTAACATCCCTTCCTGTCATAACAGTTCCAAAACTAATATAATTACCATTAAAATGCAAACTTATATATATTTGCATTTTTAAATTTTTTCTTGAATTCCTAGGTTATTACATAGACATTTTCTTCTCAAATGATCAATCTGCCCACCCTCAAAACATGGGCCAGACACTTTATGACATGGTCTCGAATGGTATTTCTCACAACTATTACAAGGGACTCTAATGTAACTCAACTGATTTGGAACTAATTAGGCTCTAGGCCTAATATTACTAGGATTAGATCTCATGACAGGAGTGTTTACTGATGGTAAACCATATGTTCTAGGTCTAGTCTGCATGGCACAAAAGTGAGATTGACTTGACAATTGATGACTCTTGGAAGAAGAACCAGGAAATTTTTCGTTGTGCTCCTTCTTGCGTTTCTTGAAGATCGCTTCCTCTGCCTTATGTTGATTCTCAATTCTTAATGCGCTATCCACAATCTTAGCATTAATATTGCAACCCAATATAGGTGCTATATTGTCATGTATATCTACTGAAAATCCATGCACAGACTTACTAATTCATTCCCCTTCAGTCTATATGATATGTGAGGCAAAAGAGGATAATTTAGTAAACTTTTGATCATATTCTACTTTTGACATTCCTTTAATTTACTGCACTTTAAAGTCATAAACTTTTCCACTTTTGCGTCCTTAGTACTTTGAGACAAATATCGATTCAGGAATGTAGTCTTGAATTCTTCCTAAGTCAAAGAATATACTCTAGTTGCATGCAGGCCTAAGACTATTTTTACCCAAATGCTTGTTACTCCTTGAAGTTGGAATACTGCAAATTTGACATATTGAACATCAGGGCATCTTAAGGCCCTATATCTCTTCTCAGTTCCTTTAAGGAATTCAACTGGGTCCTTTAGTGTATTGGTTCTTGAAAAGGATGGTGGATTTAATTTCATAAATTTTGACAGCTTAACTACAGGATTCTCCTCTTGCATATCATAACTTAGAGGGGTAGTCTGTCCTTCAGATTGAGAACTTACTTATTCACCTCTAGAAGGAATATCTTAAAGGGGCATAAGGGTTCATTCTTTAGACTGAGAACTTATGTGTTCACATCTGTTGGAGAATTTCTACCAAAGGCTCTACTACTAGTGAAGCTCCTAGTAGATACTTGACGTCTGGATGGCATATTTCACTATATAAAGAAACAAAAGAAATATTTAACTCAAAATGTAATTTTATATAGCAAAGAAGTCTATAATAAAAAACAATCAACGTTCAAAAACTTCCTATAGAACTTTCAATGATACCTTAATTATAATTATGCCTGGGATCATAATGATAATTGAGACCTCACTGAAAAGTTCTTGCTTCACATAGCTATATATATAAAGACATTTACTCTGATACCAAAACTGTGACACCACGAAAATAGAGGGTGACTGGCAGGGTGTGAACTACTTCACATATTCTTGTAAGCCTCAAAATAAAAATTTATTTCATTTTACAAAAGAAAAAAATAATTAAATTACATGAAAGTTAAAATAATTTTGATACTAATTGTCACAAGAAAGTTTCAATATTTTTGTAGAAATTTTGGTAGAACCTCTCCTATAACTAGAATCTCTCAAAAATTCTACAACAGAAAATTTTTATAAATAATAGTATAAAGCAGGAGCATAGCTCCTTCCACCTAGCAACCAGTACATAAACCAAAATATAGTCTATCAACAATCTATGTAGAGCAACTAATCTTTCCTCTAAATCAAAATACATAAAGCTTAAATATTGACATCAACAAGTAATAATACCAAACAAAATTTTCACCCAACATAGTTGTATTGCCCTTTATAGGTCAATGGAGGGATTAGTGTTAGCTAATAACTCTGAGACCAAAATAAATTTTTCTAGTGAATAGCATTCCCATAGTAGAATTTAAAAGAATTAAAATAATAAACTTAAATATTAGTGTAAATTAATTGAAAAGATGATCATTTAACGTAATAAACTTATAAATTTGTAAATCATAATCTTAACCATAAAATGAAAGTAAATTGAAAACAATTGATTTCATCATGATTAAAGAAAACAATTCATTCACACATTAATGAAAATCTTGAAAACATATATTAGTCAACATCTAAAATTTTGAGAATTCAATAGAATAGGTAACAAATATGGACACACAATTCACAAGGGTAAATAATCAAATGCAGTTATATCACCAAAATAAATGTGGACACACAATTCATGAGGGTAAATAACCAAACATAGTTGAAGTCACAAACAGATGTGGACATACAGTCTATGAGAATAAGTAACCAAATGCAGCCGAAGCCACGAAATTAAACACGGGTACAAAGCCCACAAATAACAAACGTGAGAACAAAACTCATGAGACAAACTAGCTAGTTTTTTTTTACCACAGTGCTATAGGTAATGGAACTACTGTTATCAGCAGTGTTCTATTTAAAATCCTCTTAAAAATCACATTTCAAATATGTGAGAAAAATAATTCACTTTTGAAACATAAATTTACATTTTAATTCCCAACTCGCATGAACCGTTTTAAATTCCACTTTAAGACTTGTCGAAAATAATATTTCATAAATAATGTACAAGCTTGCATTATCCGAATAACCAAGGATTTCGAAACTTTAATAAACAAAATAATTTCATAAATCTTTGAAATATATTTCTTGAGGAAATAAATGCATATATCATCCTCTAACTATCTAGCATCAATATTTCAAAGTTTCAAAACTAATGTAATTCATAAGAGTGAAATATTTCAATAAAAGTCTATTAAAAATAAAAATAAAAATAAATTAAAGGGGATGCTATTCACTTACTTGTTGAAGTTTTAAATTCCCAAAATATTTTTTCTTCAATTTTTATTAGGATCATCTTCTTCCGCACGTCCTATAAGGATATTATTAAACAAAATTTAACAAATCATCTTTAATTTACAAAAACTTCCTTCTAGTTCTAATATATCTACCATTATCATTTAAAATTTGAAACTAAAATTCATACTTTAAAATTATTTCAAACATTTTAGCAGGTATCTCAATGAAGCCAATATTCAAGTAACATATCAAAGCTATTCTCTTTCAATCTTTCCTTAATGATTTCTTTAACATGAATCAATCCAAACAAGATCTATTTAATTAGCTCCCAAATTCTATCCCATTTATGTACATACATACATATATATATATATATATATATATCTATGTATATTATTATCAGGCTTCTTTAAAATAGGTTTCTATCTCAAAATTTTCAGTTCAATTTGACTCATCTTCTTGACGCAACATATGGGCAGTAGCAGAACAAAACTGAAATTTTGTAATTTCACACATAAGGCAGCAACCACAGCATACTCTCTCTCACACGTATAGCATGCTAACAAATAAGAGGTCCAAATTTCCTCATCTTAACTCAACCAGCCTGAACAGTGGTGAATCGAGAGAAAGAAGAAACAAACGTATTCTTAAACGCTGAATAGGGGGAGGAAGGATTGAATATGGTTGGCAAGCAAGAATAGAAACTAAGTCAGCACAATAGGCCAAGGTCGAATAGCACAAGCACGAGCTCTTAGCAACAGTCCCCTAGTTTTGATGCTTTCTGACGTCTCATCCCAGACAATATGAACAGAAACGTAGACGGAGAGGGTGATAAAAACAGGGAGCATGGAAAGCAACTTAAACAAATCAGGACAGCATGAATTTCCACCGTCATTAGTAACGAACACCAACAAAAATGAAAGGGAGAAAGATCTAAATGCTTTCACATGCACCTGAATGAAGGAGAGAAAAGAACCTAAATAATCTGGAATGAAGAAAAGAAAACAGAGAGCAGAGTCACGAGTTGACTGACCAATAGTAGACGGAGTAAAGGCAAGGACATCGGCAATGGCGATGGCTGAAACTAAAGAGGAGGCAACGACACAGAGGAGGAAAAAAGAATACCAAGGTCAAAGCATATCTCCGTCTCTCGTGGTGTCTGGAAAAATTGAAGGAGAGAGTAGAGATTTTTAACAGATTTGAAGAGGGGCTATTTTGTAATTTTATAAGGCAAAAAGGCAAAGTCAAAAAATAAAACTTCTCATGGCCTTATTTGGATTCAAACAGGAACCTTTTTGACAAATTACCAACCTAATTTTCACTGCACCAATTTCTCTTCTTGTCATATTTATCTCAGAAATTAATATAATTATTATTAAAACACCAACTTATATTTTAATTTTACTTAAAATACTTGGGTGATTACATTCTTCCCCTTCAAACTCAAACATGCATGATATCGCACAAGGGAGGATTTCATAGCTTCAACTATTTCATTTTTTACTCACACAGGTTTAGCAATGAGGCTCCAATCACAACTTCAACCACTAAGACACAAACATACACATGTATGGAATTAATGAGGGAGAAATAATCTTGAAGATCCTTACCTCAAAATAATAATGACACAAGCTAGAAAAAAGAGATAGTTCTGCTCAGACAAGGAAGAGTAAGAAGATGAGAGATGACTAGTGACATGCCAACATAGGAATATGAAGGAGAGCCGATGGGAATACACAAAATGAGGAGGAATAGAGAATAAGCTACAAATAGAGAGGAGGATTTTGGTCACCACAGTCTTCAACGATGCCAACAAGAAGGACTTGAGAGAGGAGATGTTGCTATTCAACAAAGAAGAAGATGACAAGTGATGATTGAAAAAGGGAAAATAGACGGCGGAGCTAAGTTCCTGCTACCACGCTTGTGATATTAGGAGCGAAGGAAGAAGACAAAAGGGAGGATTCTGGGCGAAGGTTATTTGAA